GTCATTAGCACTTCTAGTAATATATTTACTGAGAAAAATGGTTATGTGTTTAATACTTATTTTACCTGCTGTATATCAATAAAACCCAGAAACATGCCCATACAAGATTTTTTGGAATATGTTGCAGGCATCAAATACAAAATGAGTGAAAATTTCCTAAAAACAAAGTGTATTTGCTTGAAGATTAAATGTTTTAAAATTAGGATATCTTTTTAGTGTATTCACTTGGAAACAAGTTAAGGCATGTTTGCAAATCATCCTATTTGTCTTTATTTATGTTTTATACAACTTCCAAACATGATTGGAATTGGGGTTGTAGAAGAGTGAGAGCTCTAAACTATTATTTTAAAAAGAAAAAAACATTAACCTTTGGCTTTGGAAGAAGTCTTTGGAGCATTGACTTCTGATGATATCTCCTGATCTGATGGCGGTGGTTTACGTTTCTTAGATGGTGGTGGCACCATTTCGTTTGCATCTGGTGAAGGAAGTGTCTCCTCGACAAGTGGATCTATGAAAAAAAAGTTCAACATTTAAAATTGTGTATTAACATGTTATGTAATATACTCAAAATAAAATTGGTACTTTATTTTGCAACAATATATTTATTAAAGCACACAAAGTTAGCATGAAATCTATGCTTTGTACATCTAAATCACTTGCTGGCATAAAATTTGAATTATTGTTTAGTGACTGAATAAAAATAACAACAAAGTAATATTGGAAAGAATTACATGCTAACCAGATTTTAAACTTAAGAAGAATTTGTGACAATCTACTCTCAACAATTCATCCTTGCAAGTTTTATTTATCTACCTTACTAAAAAGGCTCAAAACAATTTAGGAATTCTGAATAAGAGTTCATAAGATAAGAATTATTACTGTTTTGTGCCTTGTTTATAGTAAATATTCCCAAACTCCTACCATCAAAAGATGAGTTTCCTTCCTGTACTGTCATGTCCACGTTGTCTCCCGAGTCCAGAAGTTTTTCTGTTGAAGAAGTTGCACATATGGTTTACCATCGAGGGGAAATGAACAGGTGATAAACAGAAAAAAAGTAGCAGGAACAAATACACACTCACCATCAGGGTCAATTCTGATTTCATCCAGGTTCTTTCCATGAAACTCAGCCAATCTTCCTTGCT